GGAGGGATGAGTGCGGAGCTGAAGCGGGTCTCCGAACATCCCACGTCCTGTCCCCTAGCCCCTGGGTCCCTGGGGCTGTGCGAGGGCGTGACTTTCCCCGACCTTCAGCTGCCAGGTCTGGGGTGGAGCGGGTGTCTGGGTTTGGATTTCTGCTCCACAGAGTTAAGCAAACCTTTTAACTCCCAAGGCCCCCAGGGACTGAAGAGACAAGAGTCGGAGGCCAGGCAGCTGCAAGGACAGGCGCTGGGAGGAGGAAGGGGCAGCGATCTGAGACCGGGTGAGGGGACCAGCAATGGGGCAGAGGGGAGGGAGGCTGGAGAGGAGCCTCAGGGCTGGGGAGGGAGGAGGAGAAGCGGGACCGCTGCCCACCCCACTGGGGGGTGTCATGGAAGGAAGAGCTGAGGTGAGGAGGGAGGTGGGTTCAGCCGGCCAGTTCCCAACACTCAGTGCCAAGAGGGGTCCGCTCTGCCCTAGGCAGCGAGACACAAGATGCCCTTGGGGTCTCTGCCAGCTGTCCCTCGGTCAGGGAAGAAGGAAAGGGAAGTGAAGGGGAGGTCAAGGAAAGGCATCTACTCCTGCCGCCACCACTCTCCCCAAGGGAAAGGTGGCTTTGCCCTTCCCAGGCCCCTCCCCCTACGCCCCCCGCCTAAGCAGCTCTTTTTTCTTTTATTTCAGCATATTATGGGGGTACAGATGTTTAGGTTACGTGTGTTGCCCTTGGTTCCCCCCCCAAGTCCGTGTTTCAAATATGTCCCTTTAACTAATAGCATTGAGTGAGGTCTCAGGACTAGCCACTCTCCACTTGCGGCTGAGATCAAGAGAAGAGACCAGAGGTTTCTAATCAGATTGGGGATTTGGCTGAGGGCGGGGGATGCACAGTTTGTCCGAGGCTAACAAGCATAAAATATCCCCCTGGAGACCACCACTATGTCTCCGAGGGGCTTCTGTCCCCACTGTCACCCGCCCCCACCCACAGCTGGTTCTCCACTCTGATTGGTCAACCCCCTGGGCTGTATTCTGGACCTCACCTGTGTCCACGACTCCTGATTTCGGCATCGCCGCGCCTCTGTCTGTCCCATTCTCTCTCATCCACTCTCCTCCTCACTGACTCTCCATGGCCTGTCTCTTTCTGCTGCCTTTGTAGTATAAACAGTCCCGTTTTCCCACTGAATCAATCAAGCAGTCACTGAAAAGACTTGGTTTTGTCCAATCAGATTATGCAGTCAATCCACTTCAGCCTCTTAAAAGGCCCCAACAACAAAGTGACTTTTGATGCGAGCTTCTGCTTTGCGTACATGCAACATCGGTCTTGAATTTTCCGCCTTTTTTTTGTTTTTATATTGTGTATGTTCCTGTATGCCTCATCCTTTTTGTTTTGCTCTCTGCCCATTTGGATGGCTGTCCTCTGGCTTCCTGGGGACTCTCCTGATACTTTTTCTGGCAAAGGGCCCACATCGTGGGTTTAGACTGGGGTGACTCCTTCGGGGCCCAGGGCCTCCTGCCAGCCTCACCTCTCTGCTCCCAAGTTTCATCCTCAACTTTTCTGCCCTGATTGACTGATTACAGCTCAGAGCCTGGAGTCAGACAGACCTGTTTCCATCCGGCTCTGCCACTCAGCCAGGACCTTATGCAAGTCTCTTAATCTTTACGAGCCTCAATTTCCTCAGCTTACAAAACAGATAATACCCACCTTGAAGGGTTATTTTGAAGAGTCATTGAAACAACATATAAAAAAAAAAAAGTCAAACCCAATACTGGGTGCGTGATAGGGGCCCAATTCATATTAACGAAAATCTTCAAAAGGTGAAATGTGCTTTGGACATTTCCTGGCTCCAAGCCCTAGCTTAAGGCTTGCTGTCCACTGTTATCATCCTTATCTATATTGCTTGCATTAAAGAATGACCTAAAACCTACATGTGTTGTAATGAACACTTATATTGGCCAAGGGGATTAATCACATTATTAGTAATCAGAATGATGGCGGTGATGACAATAATAATTGCTTGCTGCTATGACCCTTCAAGAAACACAAAGCACTTAAGAGAAGCCACTCTGATCCTTCGGGATTGGGTAATGATCCCTTTTGATTTATGGTTCTTAGTACTTGTTTTCCTCTAAGGCGTGTGTACTGATCCCGCTGTGGGATCTCTAGAGGTTGTGCAGAGACAGGGGTCAGCGCTTCCCAAGCTTTGTGTGTCTAGCCCATGGCACAAGAGGGAAGGAGCCAGGGGCCCGGAGGACGGGAACGGGGATGCATTGGGGGGACAGAGGGGGACCACCTCCCCCATTCTTGGGAGCATCACCACCAGAGTGTGGATTAAAGAGAAGCACAAGGAGTTAAAGTTAAATGCCAAGGACAGTTCCTGGACGTGAAGGTAGAACTGGCATCTGCTCCATTCTAGGTTTCCCCACAGTCAGCTCAGGGGCTCAAACAGAACAGGAAGGACTTGTGAGCAGCGAGGATTTCCACGCCCAGAGCTGGCACGCTCTCGGAGGCCTGAGGATCCATGAGGGACTCGCACAGACGTGGGAGAGGCTGGGGAGGAGGCTCCTGGCATTCAGGAAACTGAGAGTCTTGGCCTCACCCACGATGTCACTTTGGTTTTGTATTTGGAGTCTTTTCTTTTGGCGGGTAGGGGAAAGGGTGCTGGGAGCCCGCCTAGGTGGCTGAATGTTACCAATCTTGACTCAGGATCTTGCCTTCCACTCTTTCGCTGGAGAGCCGTATGACCTTAGGGAAGTCAGGCAACCCTCCTGCTACTGGGCGAGGTTTCAGCGTACGCCGATTTCAATCCCTTAGCGCAGCGTGGGGCACACCGAGTGTCTGGTGAGCGGCAGGTTTTATCATTCTCTTCTTGCCAGATCCTAAATCTACCCTGAGGTCTCAGATGCTCCAGACCGAGAAACACCATCAGATCCAGCAGGCGCAGGGCAAACCATAGGAATCCTCTCAGCAGCCTCCAGGCAACAGTCTTCCATTTTCCAGCCCATTTTCCTAAAGTGAGGCAGGAGAGATCCTCATCGGATTGAGGTTAGACCAAGGAGGAACTTCCCAATGGGCAGGGCAGGAAAGGAGGTTGGGAGAGGAATTGGGGGCACCTGCTTTAGGGGAAGAAAGGAGAGAAGAGGGTTCCAGACTGCCAGCTGCCAGTTTAGAGACAGAGGGATGAGTGGGATAACCTATTGACGCAGACTCCGAGTGCGGATCTGCTCGCTGCCCAGTTTGCCTTAATTTCCAGAGACACTCTCAGCTCAGGCCAGACCTCCAGCAGCTCCTGCCCCAGCTGCCTGTCAGTTTGTCGGTTGACCTCCCTGGCACTGAGCATTCCCTGGGAAAGGGACGGCAGGAGACAAGGCGACTTCTTGGTGCTGGAGGAGGGAGCCAGGAGGGTCTTACAACCTGAGGTGTCTGGGATTCTTTGACTTTCTAACATCCACAGCCTGCTTTTGCTGCATCCCACGGGTTCTCCCTACTCAAAAGTGTGGTCTGCAGACCTGCAGCATCAACATCGCCCAGGGGCTTGTTGGGAGGGCAGAACCTCAGCTCCGCCAAGTCCTGCTGAATCAGAATCTGAGTTTTAAAGAGACCTTCAGCTGATTCGAGTTTGAGAAGCACTGCTATAGGTGATATTTTCAAGTCTTGTGGCAACTCAGCATATGAAAAACTGCTACGGATTATGAGTCTGGGATATGGTGGCTAGTTCACCATGTGTCATTCATTAAATCACTTTCCCTCTCTGAGCCTCCTCTGGAAAGTGAGGCAGCTACTCCAGACAAACCCTCACATGCCCTCCAGACCTGATAAGTTCTAGTTGAGGGTAATGCTCCCCCATACCTACTTCATTAGAGACGGAAACCCAACTTCAGGCCATGTAACCCTATTTGCGTGCAGTGCTAAGCACCGAGGGCTCTTCCCTGTGCCCTGGCCCACCCCAGGGGCAGGCCATGGCAGGCTCTCCCATCCCCCCTCAGTCCTCTTGCATATTGTTTCATCTTCCCTCAGTGACAGTGGAAACCAGCCTTCTGTTCCATCCTCTGTTCCACCTAAAGGCTTTGGGGATTAGACATTTTCTCCCCTTCCTTTTCCTGCACCAGACAAATCTGTCTCACTAGAGCTCATTCCATAATTCCCCAGCCTTGCCCAGTGGAGAACTGGCAAGATTCCCTCTTTCTTGCCCATGGTTCATTAATTCAACAACTATTTACAGAGCACCTGTGAGTATAGGGCCCTGTGCTAGGATGGGATCCAGGAAGCCAGCAGGGAGCAAGACAGCCAGGGTCCTGACCTCAGAGCTGAGACTCTGAGGGGAAGGACAGATGTTAAACAAAGAGTGACACCATTGATAAGTCCATTACCATTCATTTATTCTATCAGCTATCATTCATTAAACACCTACTATGTGCCAGGCACTCGGGACTCATTGGTGAAAATAAAGCACACAAATATCCCTGCTCCTCTCAAATGTATAATTGTTCAGAGTACTGTAAAGGTGTGGGTATGGGTATATGCCACCTCCTTCCCACTCAAGGTTTAGAAAGAGCCCATGGAAAAAAAAATAGAAAGAACCCATGATTAATTACATTTTCTTTTGTCTTCCATGGGGAAAAACTCCAATCCTGTTAAGCCCTAAGAAGAGATCCCATTCTCTGTCTAAATCCCTCAGCGGGGGCAGGATCTAGGACCCTTTGCACTTCTCTCCCTCTATATTAGTGGCTCAGTCCCAAGCCCTGAGTCTGAGTCAGCCTGGGCAGTGAGGAGGTCCCCAGAGGAGGCTGGGCCCTGCCTTGGTATGGGGGAGTTTCCTGCCTCAGACTCCCCTTTCTCTGCTTGCCTGGCAACCTCTTGTCCCTTCCCTCCTCTCTCTTTCCTTCCTGTCTCCATCCTTCCTTCTTCCTTCCTCTTTCATCGCCCTCTCCCTGCCTCCTCCTTTCCCTTCCTCTTAAGTGGCGACCATTTCCCCCAAGGCCCTGACACAGCCCTTTCTCACCTGGAGTGGACCATGCACTGCAGCTGCCTGGCCGAGGGCGTCCCGGCCACCCCCGGCAACTACTGGATCTCAGGTGAGCCTCTTTGCCAGGTCTCCCCCCATGCTGCTGTGCGGTGGCCTTGGCGGGGCCTCCAGAGCAGCGAGGTGGCCTTCACACGCCCCTCCCCACCCCAGGCTTGGCCTTCCCTGACTGGGCCTACAAGGCAGAGTCGTCCCCGGGCTCCCGGCAGATCCAACTGTGGCACTTCATCCTGGAGCTGCTGCAGAAGGAAGAGTTCCGCCATGTCATCGCCTGGCAGCAGGGAGAGTACGGGGAGTTTGTCATCAAGGATCCAGATGAGGTGGCCCGCCTCTGGGGCCGCAGGAAATGCAAACCACAGATGAATTATGACAAGCTGAGCCGGGCCCTCAGGTGAGAGGAGGTGGCCAACAAGACCAGGGAGGGCCGAGTTCAAGGAAGAGGGCTGTGGTTTCTGGCACCCCTGTCCCACCAAAGCTTGGGAAGTGTCCTTGCATGTAGTAAGATGCCCAGTGGTTCTCCAGGAGCCGCTCAGAGTTAGCCTCGCTGCGGGGGAACGGGGCGGGGAAGGCTATGAGTGGATCTCTGAATCCATTCCCTGCTCACTGGGCCAACGCTCTGTCCTCACCCTCGGACTCTCCAGATATTACTACAACAAGAGGATCCTGCACAAGACCAAAGGGAAAAGGTTCACGTACAAGTTCAACTTCAGCAAGCTCATCGTAGTCAACTGTCCTCTGTGGGAAGTGCGGGTGCCGCCATCCCCCCATCTGCTGCTGGGGGCCCCTGCCCTGTGTCGGCCAGCCCTGCTGCCCATGGGTATGCAGAGTGAGGTAGGCATAAAGGTGGCCCCTGTCCCCGAGGCTCCACCAGGCCCTGCCCCTCTGCCCAGGAGGCTGCCCCCACATCCTCCTGTCCGCCTCGGGGGCCCATCAGCCCCTCTACATCCTAGTCCCTGAGCGCCCAGGGGCAGGGGTATTTGACAATCCGCATGGAACAGCACCCACCTACAAGACAGAGTGACTCCTGTCCTGGCATCGCTCCGCTGATGGTGGACCAGAGGGAATGGGGTAGGGGTCTCAGGGGAGGGTCCAGGGCATCTGAGACTGTAGGCAGCACATGGAAGTGGCTATTCAACAATCAATATGAGAGTAGGGCATTGTTTCAGCCACTGGGTGATGGAACCAGTGTGTACTGGAGAAATATATGCCAGGGAGAGCCCGTCCCACTCCCACCCATACTCCTGACTCCTCAGCTCCTGCACAGCATGCTGTTCGCCCACTGGGCCATGGTGGAGCAGCTGGCGGGACAGTGGACCACCCAAGGACCACCAGAGGCACCAGGGGACAAGAAGGGGAGCAGCAGCAGCTTCCACCGTGAGTGTGCAAGGCTGGGGAGGGCCCAGGAATCTCTCCCTTACACGGCCGAGGGGGCGTGAGACAAGGGAGCTTACACAAGTCATTCATTCAACCAACACTCATTGAGCACCAGCTGTTTCCCAGGTGTGAGGGTTCAGAGATGGAGGATGGCCCTTCCAGACGCGCAGAGCCTGGTGGGGAGCAGAGATGGGATTACTGCCAGTGACTGTGCTGAGATTCAGGAGGACACAGGTGCTATGGGGCCCAGAGAAGGAACTGGGGCTTCCCAGAGGACATAACCCCTGAGCAGGTGAAGGAGGTAGAGAAAAGATGCCCAAGCAAAAGCAATAGCATTTATAAAGCAAAACGCCACGAGCAAGCGAAGGAAATCTGCAGACCTGCTAGTAGCTTGCTACGGTCAGAGAGTACGTTACGTGATGGGCCTGGGAACAAGCAGGAAGGGTGAGAAATGGGGGTGGCAAGACACACAGGTGTCTGGGCACAGAAGGCCTCGCAAGCCATGTTAAGGGGGTGGATGTTATCCCGTGGGTGGAGGACCAGGAGGGAGAGGCGTGTTCAGATTTTCACTTTATAAAGATTGTGTGTCGAGTCTGGGTTGGACAAGGCATAAGACCAGGGTTGGGAGGCTTCTGAAGATAATCTAGACAGAAGATGATGGGGCCAGCACCAAGACAGGCCGTGGGGTGAAGGAGGAGGCTCAACTGGAGAGAGACTGGGAAGACAAAGTTCACTCATTCATTTCTTCCTGCATCAGATGTTTGATGACCTCCTTTTTAATGTGCCAGGCACAGTCCTAGGGGCGGAAGGTGCCGAGGTGAGCAAGATCTCCTTTATAGGGCTGGAGGCCAGAGGGGTGCAGGCATTCAGTTAACGACAGATAAGTGATCATGGCTGTGCTGACTGCTGCAGGGACGTTCAGGGTGCCCAGGCCCTCAGGGAAGACTTTCTCAACAAAATGACATTCGAGCTGAGACCCAAAGTGTACAAGGTGTCAGCGTAGCTCAGAGGGAGTAGGGAGAGCATGGCAAGCAGACGGAGCAGTGTGTGCAAAGGCCCTGGGACAGAAAAGAGGGACTGGGAGGAGGCCAGTGTGGTGGCACCCGGCAAGCGAGTGGAGGAGAGGGTGGAAACGTAGGTAGCTGTCGGCCTCACGGAGGCTGGAAGCTGGGAGGTGACATCAGATTTCCTGCGAAGACCACAGAGACCCAAGAACCACCCTCCACTGCAGGCGATTTCATGGAATAAGGGACTCATGGCAGCTGGGGGCCCAGACTCTGCACCCCAGCGAGTGCGGCCTAGGCCGTGGGTGTGGGGCAGCCCAGGCCTGCTGGGACTCGCTGGGCCACCGCCTGGAGGTAGACAGTACCTGAACAGCCGTCCCTGTTCCTCCACCCCCAGCCACCCCCTCCCAGCCCTGGGAATGCCTTGGGCGCAGAGCCTCTCTCTTCGGGAAACTATGAGGGGGGGAAAACGTGTCCCTCCCAAGCCTCAGCATGGAGTGGTTACTTTGCAACTCCCTGCCCTGCGCGGGCACACACGCATGCCTGCCTGTGATTGGGCCCCGAGGGACACCGAGCAGGTTTAGGTCACCAGAAGATTACCAGCAGCCACATGCCCCACTCCCAGATTGGGACTCCAGAGGACTGTGCCAGGCCCTCACCTCCACCCTCACTCAGAGCATTTGGTGCCAAGAAAGGGAGCTGCTTCCAGGAGACAGAGAGCCGGAGCCAGGGACCTGCAGGGCCAGTGTCAGAAGGGGGTGGGAGAGAGAGGGGAGGACTCGTAGGAGTAGCTCCTGCACGTGCCTGCTGGGCCGGGAGGGGAGACAGCCTGGACCCCCGGGGAACCACGGACACAAGCGTCCTGAGAAACAGCAGTCTCCGTCTCATCTAAGGGCCCGAGGAAAAGGACCGTGGCCCGGAGAGAAAAGACACTCTGGCAGGTCCCCCACTTCTCCTCGCGAAGGATCATTGTTACTGTCCTCTCTTCACCCGTCTGACTGCAGGAATGTTGCTCCTGTCAAACACTCTGGGTGTATTAAGTAACAACTCCTTTGTTTTTCCGGTTTTTAGTCACTATAGCCCCCGCAATGTGACCACGTTGATCGATACTTGCTCTTTTCATTCAATGATGTGCTTTGCTAAGAAAATTGTGCGATTGCAGTAAGGCTTTCGGAACTGTAGAAAGTGGCGTCAAAGTTATATATAATCGTCTCCAAGGACCTCAGGCTGGGAGGCCCTACCGTAGGGTCTGGGGGGTCCTTCCAGACTCACCCTCCCCCCGCCCGGAGCCTGGAGTCTGGAAGGCATGGGAGCGGGGATGTCTTCTTGGAGGAGGAGAGTTATGGGCAGAGTCGGATAGACAAGGAGAAGGCAGGGGCTCCCCGCCACCCACCCGGGCCTCCCAGTCGTGAGCTCTGCAGGCCCCTTCTTACCCATCGTGCCACTGATCTGAGCTAGGACAGGCGATTTTATGGATGAAGAAATAGAGGCCTGCAAATTTAAATGACAAGCCCAAAGCCACACAACCAGTTCTTTGCCCAGCTAGAACAGAGGCCTTTGCTGCAGGGGCCAAGAGTGAAGAATGGATTCATTGAGTTCTGGCAAAGAATATCCTTCTTTCATTCATTCACCACGTTTTTATTGAGCACTTACTATGTGCCAGGCTAGACTGGATTCAGGGGAGAATAAAACAGAAGCAGTTCCTTCCCCCACAGAGTTTGGGACACAGACATTAAATAAATAAGCACACAAATGATTACATGATGCCACCTGAGCTGCGTGCCCTGGGGGACAGGTTCGGGAAGAGAGGAGAGCAGCTGTCACCTGGGCTGGGGAGTCCTGGGAGGCTTCCCCAAAGAAATGACATCTATGACGAGACCTGAAGAAAAGCACGAAAGGACGGGCAGCGAGCAGGGAGAGGGAGAGAGACTTTCATGCCAGAGGTGAAAAGGATCAGGGAACCAGGGAACGGGGCAGCGCGGGGCATCCCAGAGCGCTGGGGGTGCGCTTGTGACCCTTCCTCTCTTTCTCCTTCTCTAGGACTTGGCTCTGCCCCAGGCCCCTGCCGGCTGGGCCCTTGCTGCCATTTGGGGAGCATCCAGGGCGAGCTGCCCAGTTTCACCTCCTTCGCCCCTCCCCTCCCACCCCCTCTCTCCTCCGACTGGACCCACCTTTCGGGGCCCTCCTTGCCTCCTCTGGCCTCAGAGCAGCAGCTCCCAGGGTCCTCCAAACCAGACACTTTGCTCCCAGGACCAGGGTGTCCCCCCGGGGCCCGGCATTCTCCAGGGCTTCCCCTGCTGGCCGGGCTGGGCCAGGGTGCAGGTGAGAGACTTCGGCGCTTGTCCGTCGGGCCGGAGGGGCTGGAGGTAAAGCCGGATCCTGCGATGGAGGCTCGGGGGGAGCCCAGGAAGGGCTTCCCCTCACAGACCCATGGCCTCAGAGCTGGGGAGGACAGCCCTGCGTCCCCCGACCTGGAGAACCTCAAAGCAGTGTGGCCCTTGGATCCTCCTTAATTGGAGAGAAGATGTGAAGTGGGGGGACAGGGGTCCTCCAAACTCATCCCTCCTCTTGCCCACCTTCCCTGGCTGGACACGGGCTGAAACCGCAGAGGATTTGAAGGGGTGGAGTTGGACCCGAGGTGGGGGCGGGAAGGCACAAACGTGGGGAGGAAGAAAACTGAGGCAGGGTGCCCCTCGCCTCCCACCAAATTGCTAATCAGACTAAGGAGACACTCTTAATCTCAACTTCTCTTGATGGCGATGAGAACAAGGTTTCCATCATCTGAAGCCCCTCGTACCTGCCCACATGAGGGGGCAAATTAAGGGTCTAGGCTGGGGAGGGGCCGGGGTTGTTTCGTCCCTCAGGCCTGCGGTACCCAACCCCGGTACCCATCCACAGCCTGTTAGAGACCAGTCTGCAGAGCTCCCTAACCCCCCACCTCTCTCCCCCGCATCCATGGAAAATTTGTCTTCTACGAAACTTAGGAAGTGGTGGCGGTGGGGGGTGGGGGGCCTGCACAGCAGGAGTTGAGCAGCAGGCAAGCGAGCAAAGCTTCAAGCTTCATCTTCATCTGTATTTATGGCCGCTCCCCATCACCATCGCCTGACCTTCCCACCCCGCCCGCCACCGCCCTGCTGTGGAAAACTTGCCTTCCATTGAAACCAGTCCCTGGTGCCAAAAAGATTGGGGACCCCTGCCTCAGGCAACTCCTTCTCTGGGGCTCATCTCCCTAACCCAGGCTAAGGTCTCCAGTCCCCTTCCCACGGCTCTGTGCACGTCCCTCCCATCCCTCTGATTGCTAAGGCCCTGGAAACTCCTGTCCCCTGCAGACACTTCCTTCTATCTCCATTTCCCCAAGACCCAGGCAGGTGGGGTAGGGGGACCCTGGCCTCCTCAGCTCTATAAGACTCCACTGCGACCACAAATAAAATGCCCTTGCAAATTGTCCTCTGCCCCCTCCCAGCTCCGATTGGTGTGACAGGAAGGGGGCAGGGGTGGGGGGACCTAGGGGAGGGCCTGAGCCCTGGGGTGGAGCCAGACATCGGACCCCCCAGTCTCCTCCCTCCCGCCACCATCTCCTCTCCAGAGAAAGAACCCGAAGGAATCCGGGGCGTGAGGGGCTCCCTGGACACCGTGGGAAACCAGCCTCAAGGCAGAGTCTTCAGAACAGAGCAGAGCAGGGTCTTTACAGGATGACCCTCAGATCCCTATGGAGGACCTCGGAGCAGAAGGGAAGACAGAGGGCGTTGGCAGGGGTCCCTCTTTCTCTGCTCCCCAGGCCATACCAATGCCACACAGGGCAGACATGAGGCGTCAGGTGGCTGGGGAGTTGGGGGCATGTGAGAGATAGGGTCTTTGCTCAACCAGGACAGGCCGACAGAGAGGGACACGCCAGGAGCCAAGGCGACCGATCCACACTGCTCTCCTATCTCTAGGCCACCAATTCTACACTCAGAATGTGTCTCCCCTTCCTTTCTATGACATGGAGTATGAACTAAGGAGGCACAGAGGGCCCCTTTTGCCCATTGTTTGTCCCTGTCTCTCAATCCAAGGAGTAGGTGTGCGTCCCCCTCGCGGGGGCTCCCAGGGCGTTTGCTTTCTGCAGCCTCTCGGTCCCTCCCCATGGCAGATGCAGCGCCGCGTGATGACAACGGGAAAAGAGAGACTGGGTGGGTGGGTAGGAGGGGGCCCTCGTCCCACAAAAAGGGTGAGATCTGCAAAGAACCCGGGCCCTGGGTCTCCCAGCTGGATCTCGGCCAGGAGAAAGGATCTGCGGGAGTTCTTCATCTGAGTCTGCCTCCCTCGACACAGGTGCCAAAAAAAGGGACCACAGAGCCTCTCCCCCAGGAGTTCCCAGGGCTACAATGAAAACTGCTTCTCACTTGTCCCCAAAGCAACAGGCCCAGCCCCAGCCCTGCAGCAAGGACGAACCCCCAGGGGCTTTCCCATCACCCTGCCCAGCTTTTGCAGACAAAGAGCTAGTGTCCTCTGCTCCAGCTTAAGGAACTGGATGGTGTTGTCACGGGGCTTGGGCCCTGTTCAGAAAAACCAGCCCCAGGGACAGGGTTCTTCTCCATAATGGGGACCCTCATGTGCCCTCTGCCTGACCCCACCTCCTCTTCAGTGGTTTGTGGTGGCTGTGACCCCACATTTCAGGCAATGGAAAATTATTCTAAAATTTTTCTTGGCGGTAGGTGAACCCTGACTAAATAGCTCAGCCCCAGAGGACTTAAACTTCCAGGTGGTGTGTTCTGCATTGTAGGCAATGATTCGAGGAGAGCCGACTTTCTCCGCCTTGGCACTATGGACCTTTCTGGCTGCATAGTTCTTTGGTGTGGGGAGCTGTCCTGTGCATTCCAGGATGTTTAGCAGCAACTGGGGCGTCTACCCAGTAGATAACAGTAGCACTCTCCCCTACCCAATTGGGATAACCTAAAATGTCTTCAGACACTGTTAAATGTCCCCTGGGGAGAGGGGGAAATCATCCCCAGTGGAGAACAACTTAAGAAGAGAATGGCTTCAGCAAATCCAGATGTGGCAGAGATGGGAACCAGGCTCCAACTCAGAGAGCTGGTGGCCTCCACATTGCAAGAGTGCCCTCTGGTGGCCAGAGTCAGGCCCAGCAGTCAGAAAAGTTCGGCGATCTGCACTAGGCTGGGTGTGCCGAGCCCACCCAGGGCTCTTTTGAGATGAAGGGGTGATGGGCACCTTGGAGTCCACTGAGAAGAGGATGGGAGTCGCAGGATGAAAAAATTTTATGAGAACCCTCCCACTTCAAGCCCCCTTAGCAAATCATAGACTAGCCACCAAGGGATCAACAGGTCTAATGTGACGACAGAATCTGCGGGCTGTCGGTTTCTGGTACAATCAGATGCAGCCATCAACCCCAGACATCACACCCTCTGGCCCTCTGTGACTGTCAGCTTCACCTGGGAGCAGCATGGTCTGGATGCCTAGGCTTCTCTGGGAGCAGCAGAAAGCAGGACAAGGACAGCCAAGCCAGCCCCCAGCCACCCTGCTCCTGGGCACTCAGCTCTATCACAGCAGGGACACCAAAAGACAGATTCGTGGGCCTCAAGGATTTTAGGGAGTCAGACTCCCAGGCTTCACAAATCTTATGCTGTTAGGAGCCAGAAGGGCCCTTTGAGATCATCAAGTTCAACCCGCCTATCTTTATAGGCCCGGAAAGAGGAGGGGACTTGTTCAAAATCATGTGTATAGAAGAACCGAGTTTAGAATATACATTTCCTAATTATCATGTCGGTTAATGCTCTTTCCATCCCACCATAATCACTTGACTAGAGAGTCTAAAATTCATCAGAAATAAGAATATATTAATGTTATATGTTGAGAGAAAAATGTAAGTTATTCCTGTGTGGTTCTTGACATGACCGTAGTAGTAAGCATTTTCCTTTTTGTGTGCATTTTGGCACTTGATTACATAGCGTCTGGTTTTGTCCTCTAATTGTCCCATGTGCATTAATATCACATCCCCATAAAGCTGGTATTCTCGGGGTAATACAGCACACACACACACACACACACACACACACACACACAACAACATTTGATTAGCACGTGGAAGAGGCCTTGGAGATTTAAAAACAAAAACTGGGAGGCCGAGGCGGGCGGATTGTTTGAGCTCAGGAGTTTGAAACCAGCCTGAGCAAGGGCGAGACCCCGTCTCTACTAAAAATAGAAAGAAATTAGCTGGACAACTAAAAATATATAGAAAAAATTAGCCGGGCATGGTGGCACATACCTGTAGTCCCAGCTACTCGGGAGGCTGAGGCAGGAGGATTGCTTGAGCCCAGGAGTTTGAGGTTGCTGTGAGCTAGGCTGACGCCATGGCACTCTAGTCCTGGCAAAAGAATGAGACTCTGTCTCAAAAAAAAAAAAACAAAACCAATGTATTTGCTGCCCTAAATTATTGGTGACAGTGAGGATAATCCCCGCCCCCCTCTTTTATTCCCTAATGAAGATCTTGACCCAGGGGAGAAAAAAATTCAAGCACCATACATGTTTTATATGTATAAGGCTTTATAGCACTCAACCCCGATCCTGCTCACATAAACACGGATAATATCATACATGCCGTTCCATAGCACAATTAATATTTCATGGACATCTTTCCACTTATATATACATACAAATATACAGTCATGCTCTGCTTAACGACAGGGAAACATTCTGAGAAACGCGTCATTAAGCAATTTTATGGCTGTGCGAACGTGATAGAGTGTACTTACACGAACCTGGATGCATATGTAGCCTACTATGCACCCCGCCTATACGGTACAGCCTATTGTACAGGCTACAAACCCGTGCAGCCTGTTACTGTGCTGAATACAATAGGCGAGCGTAACACAATGGTAAATATTTGTGTATCTAAACACCAAACAGAAAAGGTACAGTAAAAATATAGTGTGAAAGGTTAAAAATGAATGGAGTTTGCAGGACTAGAGCCCCTTGGGTGAACTAGTGAGTGAGAAGAGAGTGAATGTGAAGGCCTGGGACACAGCTGTGCACTACTGCAGACTTTATAAACACTGTACGTTTAGGCTGCACTAAATTTAT